TCAGCCGCTTTTTTTGCAACTGCAGAATCTTGTTGGCTTTAACATCTTTAGCACATATACTTTTTCCTGCTGCAATGTCTATTTTTCTTTTTCTTTTAACAACTCCATCAGCTGTGGACTGTAATTCCTTTTTTTCTACAAGAAAATTTAAAACAGCATCACTTACTCTCCAAGGTACTTGCGCAGCATCAGTTTTATAGTTTCGAATTCTGGTTAGTACTTCCTTTGCGCTTAGGGAGAAAGTGCCACATTTTCTAAAGCCTCTTTTCAAAGTTTTTCCGCCATTTACACTAATTATTTCAACCAGTTTTTTTTAAAGGGTGGTAAAAGGTGCTTTGTGGGATTAAGTTGGTATTAACATTCAGTGTTTTATATTTTACCAAAATATTTCGCCAATCTATTTTCATTGGTCGAAATTAGGCGACATCTAGAGTCTATGTGTAGACTGAAATAATGCTACACGGCGGTTAAGAATTCGCAGATTTTTAATATGCAACTATGTAATTAATCTTAATCTTGGAAGTATTGGTCGCCAACCAATTTTTCCGGGTCAAAAAATCTTGTGTGAAATGGCTACATTTTGAAATTTTTTTTATTAATATAATAAATATTACCGTAATTTTTTTAAATTTTCCTACAGTTCATATGGTATTGATGGTGCGGTATAATGAAATTTACTTGATATTTCACAAACGCCCTAGTTACTAAATCTTTCTTCCAAAATGAGCCAAAGGCACCCTGGTGGTCCAAAGTCACCCGAAATTACAGTATACAAATTTTCTGCGTTGCCTGTGAATGTTTAAAGATGTGGCTAAAATGATGATGTCCGGCCGGGTGGAGGGGAAACTAAAAATTTAAGCGTTCAAAACATGAAAAAAACTTAAAAAATACTATATGTATCACTATTGCCCTAAAATGTAGTAGTTTTTGACGTACAACGTGTTAAAAATCAAATAATTAGTTGCAAAGTTTCAAGAAACTTATGTCTGTTAATAAGTTTTATTAATTTTTTCAATTAACGGTTGTCGTTAGTATTGAAAGTTGACATCCAGATTTTGAGCACATTTTTCAGCACCGTAATAATGTATTAGTTTCTGCAAAGTATACACTATTCATAGTTATCATAAACCTTACATGCCTTTTTGCACACACTTTCTCTCATTAGAAAAGTATTACTAGGTAAACACAGCCGAGCACCATCCAGCACTCGTAGCCGTAGCGGCGATTCACCAGGTAGACCACATTCGGCACAATCGTGGCGGACGAAGAGCGAGTCCAACAAGTCCGAAGGCAACAGCCTCAACTCTAAATCCAACTCCCTTTCCAAATCGAGAAACAGCTCCCTCGTGACGACCAAGGACTCCTTGTCTGGAAAGCTGAGATCCAGTGAGTCGTTCCAGAAGTTGAACGGCAGCAACACGTTCGGGAGGAGCGTTCAGAAGAAAAACCTCAGCGGTACCGTCGTCAAGAAGGAAAATAGCGTTAGTGATAAGGTACGCACCAAAACTACGACCAGCATTATCTGGAGTTTCTTCAGACGTGATTAGGAACTGAGGCTGCCATTTTTTTTAGTTACGCTCTCGGCCTTCATTGTTAGGGATAAGTGCAGTAAGTGACGCTTATTTTTTATTATTTGCTTCTCCGCTTTAGAGGCTTTTTGTTTTTGGTTTGGTTTGGTTTGATTCCGTTTTATGGGTTCTTCCTGGTTGGAGCTTGAGTAGTTCATTTGGAATATAGTAAGTAGTTGTAGTTGGGAGTATTTGTAAGGGAATTAAACGATCTCACATTGTATGGAGTTCATTAGGTAATAATATTTACAAAGGCGTAAAAAGTGTGTAAAATATTCACTACTATTTATTTTTCCTTTGCATATAACGTTACATAATATTAATATTATTTTAAAATTCACTGTTTTCATATTAATTTACAGGCGTATAAAGAAGCGAATCCTTAGCAATTACCTATTTACATAGGCCATAAATGTCGTTTTACGCCTTCCTGTTACTTTCTGTTGTTTGATTTTTTCAAATTTCTTTGAATATTTACTGAATGTAAAGACTCAGTACGGTAAAATTATGAAAGTAACTCATCTTTCCCCTATACTGTATTTTCCTTACAATAAAACAAATAAAATGTACCAAAAAAAAATGTAGACAGATGTAGAACAAAATTGCTTTCGTGCAGGCAGTTGCTGTATGGACAGCATATTTTTTCTAAAGCAGGTCATTGAGAAAAGAGTAATCTACAACCAAAGAATATAGACGCTAAGCGTCTATATTCTTTGCTACAACCTTTCAACTCATGTAGTCTGTATAGATCTGACAAAAACATACAATATTGTTCCACTTTCAATGCTTTGGGTATCAACGGAAAAACAAGAACAGTTTCGAACTGGAAACTAATTAACTAGAGACATTCCTATTAGTACGGATCTAAAACAAGGCTGCTGCATAGCACCTACATTCTTCAAAATATATATAAATGAGTCGCTCTCAGTGTGGAGAAGATACTGCTGCAATGTGGCTTTCCCAATCGAAGATGAGAGATTGTACACGATACACTTCGCTAGTAAACAAACTATTCTAGCTGAAGATGAGAGTAATATAGACTATATGCTTAGAAAACTGGAAGAGGAATACACTAGGTGGGGCCTTACAATTAATATGCAAAAACCGAGTACTTAGTTGCAGGAGAAGAACGAGAAAGCCTAAAAATTGAAATGGGAACTATAAAATCAACTTAAATCTTTAAATACTTGAGAAGTCCAAACAACATCAAAAGCAGGGAGTAACGAATAAATACATTCTAGGATTGGCTAAGTAAGATCAGCCAAAAGAAAATAGAAGAAGAATTTGTAAAATAATAGAAAGCATTGGGTTGTATGGCGCCGAACTTTGGCATATAGATTAAAGAAATAAATGAAAAATTATGACCATGGAAATAATCTTACCAATCAAAGCCAAAATCCTAAACCCATTAGAAGAAATCGAGGTAGACCAAGATGGCAAGACGGTCCTGGAGAGAAGATGTCGAAGATGCAATGATTGTCAGAGATTTAGAAAATGAAGATTGCTTATTGGACACAATTCACCAACAACATTGAACACGACCTATATGGAGCACAAAGATAAGTTTGGAAAATCGTTAATGGTAGAGAGAACCCCATTAACGAATATAAAAATCTGCACTAAATAGAAATAGAACAATCCCAGTTTGGATTTTTAACTGAAACTGCCATTAATTCGTATGAAAGATAGTAAATTTCAGAATTATTATCTGATATAAAAGAAATTAAAAAGGGAGATAGTGTTAGGTCTACAGAAGCAGAAGAAAAAAGAAAGTGATGGTGATGATAACATAGACATCACAAAGGACGAGATCAGGGATAGCCTATGTAAATTAAAAATAAAAAAGCTCTAAGATCCGATAATATACCACATGAACTTCTAAAGTACGGTGGAGAAACGATAACTGAAAACACAGAGGTACTTCTTTAGGAAATTTTAAATAGCAAGCAACAGTCAAAAGAGGCCCGTCATTTTCACACCGATAAACAAAAAAAAATGAGATAATAAAACATCTTACCAATTACAATAGGATTTAATCACCTTCCTCAATACAACTCTTAACCTGCTAACAAGGTTATTTGCTAACAACATTAATAAAAAATACATAATCAGCGAAGAGCAGCAATTCGTAGATAGACAAATTAGTGAGAAAGGTTTGAAATATACCAAACCTGCCATGTACTTTATAGATATGACTAAAACCTTTGTCAAATTAGATTTATTACAATTACCAAAAGAAAAAACCAATCTAACCGACTGGTAAAGATAGTAACACTAACAACAAAACAAAAATTAGTCGAGTCGAGATTACACTGTTATCGGAAGTAGATATTAACTTAAAAATCCGACAGGAAGAAAGCTACTCTTAAATCTAGTAATTAGAGATAACAAGATCATTGAGGAAATTAAAAAGACAGGAGATAGGACAAGGATACACGCTAGGTAGAAAACAAATAAAAATACGAAGATAACCTAAAGCGAATGGTACAAATATACAAAACAGCGGCTAAGACACACAAACCATGTAAAATATTAATTAACCACGAAATAATCAAACAGGTCTTGATAATCGAATATCTATGAGTAGAAATATCCAGCTGCGGAAATTTAAAGAGAGTTTCACGACGAGTTTACATTAACTGTATGTCGGAAACTACTTACACAATATTTATTATGAAAATTGGTTTATGGGTCTGTCAATAGATTATCCTTAAGTTCGTCATAACTTCCTGATAAACCGATTTTCATTAATATCTTGTTAGTAGTTTCCGATATATAGATAGTGAAAAGTCGTCTTTGAACACCCTGTATATCAGGATTTCTAAAGGATCTAATATGGCTATATAAGGATGTGAGATAAGATGAGGAAGTACGTATATATGTATAATACCAATGTATAAGGCCAATAATGACGTATGCAATAGAAACGGGAGCAGATACAGAGACCGAGGCATATCTGTAAAATACAGAATATTGTATGATGAGGAACACAGAGAAGACAGAAATGGGACCAGCATATTACATAAATGGATAGTGAGAGCATTTAGCAATTTATCTGTAGTTCTGGCATTGAATCTTATCTCCTTTTTTTTATATAATATTCTTAGTTATTCTATTAACCTATTTATGTGGCCTAACTTTTTTTTGTCCACATAAGTGTCATTCAATAATCTATTCTTTTGGTATTCCTGGAACTCTATGGGTCGTTAGGAAGTTTTGTTATTTTTTCCATTGCTTGATAACTAAGGTTTTGAATATGCTATTGTGTTATGTTGGATGTTGTCCCATCCTGTTCATTGTCAATGTTTAGACTGTGTGTCCCTGTGTATATATTGAAGTATAAGTACTAATATTTTTCTTTCGACGTTTCAATATGGTCGTAATGTTATCTTACAACTTTAAAAGAATATTTAAATTTTGAAATTGTTTTAGCTGCCAGTAGATCTATTAATATTACTACTGAAGTGTTTATTAGTGACATATCTACTTGGTTTAATACCACTGTGGGAATAAACAAATTAAAAAAAGCATTTTTAAACGACGTTCTAGCGTCTTGCAAATTTATAGCTTCTGTTCTCAACGAGATTTGTGTGTATGTGTAAAAAATGGCTTATGTGACTATCCAATTGTTCATGCAGTCGTTCAGTTGTTTTGCTAGTTTAAGAATAATTTTTCAGATATACCTACTGTCCAATATATTTTTAAGTTGCAAATATTATGCAGTAAAAAGTGCTTGATTAAGTTTAAATAATAATAATAATAATGGCAGCTCTGCATATACACTAATTTTCTGTGTTTAAAATTCATTGCAACAAAACTATATTTTGCACTTTTCATTATGTATTTTTTTATTATAATGATTTTTTTTTGTACATATACATATATTTAAAGAAAAAGATTATTAGTTTATTGTTAAATTACAATTTTGGGCTGTATCGCAATAGAAATTCAAAATAATCGTTTTTCATTTTAAAAAATTCATATAATATGACAAAATGGCCGTTTTTTTATATAGTCTAGGGACAAAGAGGGGTTTCGTGACCAATTGAGGACCCAGAGACTTTACAACTGATTTTTATGTGTTTTGACTTTTGACCCACTAAATTCGAATCCCCAACATGATAATCCAAATTTTTCGGGCAGGAATTTATTAGCAATTTAATTGTTTAAATGTTTATGACTTATAAACTTTATAACCTAGTAAAGATATACCCTTTTTTAAATCATGTTTTGTTTCTTTTAGCAAAATAAACCAAAAAAACTTTTTAAATTAAAGTCGGTCCATTAGAAGCCGAGATATTGCTAATTTATTATTAAAAAATGGCAAATTATCGACTATATCAGACATTTTTGCATATAGCTTTGCTTTTGCTTATCGTAAAAAGATTTAAAGCTATGATTGCAAGCTTTAAAATGAATTTTGAAAAATTTAATTTGATGAGTTTTGGACGAAGTTATATAAGTTGAAATTAAACAATTTAGGTGTAAAAAAACAATCGAATTTGTTTATAACGATTTTTCGATGATATGAGATCAAAAAAGTTACCATCATACTATTGAGAACTATAGTACTATGGAAAACGAATTTTAAGCTTTACTAAACTTATTTTAATGCAGTTTTCGCTAAAATACAGTACCAAGCTGATGCACTTCACTCGCACCCGATGCTCGCTCGAGCGCAGTTGTACTCGCACAATATAGTTAACATTTAACTTAAATAATAATAATAATGCCCAAGAAAGTTGAAATACTGGATGTACAACAAATGCATGTAGGTCATCATTATCACAGTCATTAACATCTTAGTAGATGTGTTGTGGTTCATAATTGGGCTTCAGCAGCTCGAACAGTTTGATTGATAATATTTCTCCACTGGTCGCGGTCATCAGTTATATGTATTGCCTCAGTATACTGTTTATTGAGAAGCTTTTTAGTAATGTCCGCCCATCGCTGTGGAGATCTTCCGCGTTGGCGTTGAGTCTGAGGCCTTCCTTGGACCACCAACCGCTCCATTTTGTGATCACTTCGATGGATATGGCCAAAGAACTTTAAAATTCTGGAGTAAACGGTACTGGAGAGACGCTGATCCGGTTTAATTTCATCCAGAACCGAGATATTTGTACGGCGAGCCGTCCATGGAATTCGAAGCAGGCGTCTCCATGTCCACATTTCAAAGGCGTCTATACGTCGTCGATCTGATTCTTTGATTGTCCATGTCTCGCATGCATAGTAAAATATGGAAAAAACCAGAGTTGAAACGAGTCTCTTTTTGTTTGTCATAGTAATGTGACGATCACGCCAGATCCCGTTTAGTTCACTCATTGCTGCTCTTGCTAGTTGAATGCGTCTTCTAATTTCGGATTCACAACTGCCTGTGTTGTTAACTAGAGCTCCAAGATATATCATAGATGAGACTACCTCGCATCCCGCAATAGTTTGGGTTTCAGGAAACTGTTGTTGGCGATCAATAACCATGATTTTGGTTTTGTTGTAGTTAACCATGAGTCCAAATTTAGCACTTTCTACCTCGAGTTTTTTTAATAATTTAGTAATTTCTTCTGGAGTAGAGGCTAGAAGTGTAGTGTCGTCTGCGAAACGCAAGTTGGATATCTTAACACCACCTAGGTTTACTCCTCCCTCCCAACCATCCAAAACTCTGCGCATTATGAACTCCGAATAGATGTTAAATAATAAGGGAGATAAAACGCATCCTTGGCGTACTCCCTTCTCCAAAGTGCATTTGTCAGACAGATATCCGTCCATTCGAATATATGCCAGGTTATCTTGATACAGTTTGCTAATAAGGTGAGTCAAGTGTTTAGGTACACCCATTGTCGTCAATATGTTCCATAGTTTGTCCCATCTAACATTATCAAAGGCCTTTGTATAATCGACGAAACATATAAATATCGGGATCTGGTATTCTCTGGCTTTTTCTATGATGTTTCGTACATTAAGGATTTGTTCTCTAGTACCTCTGCCCTTTACAAATCCAGCCTGCTCAGGTGCTATTTGCCAACTTATGAAGTTTTCTAGACGCCGTTGCAGTATGTAGAGGATCACCTTACTGGCGTGTGATATTAGAGCTAATAGCCTGTAGTTGTTACAATTATTTGTTGAACCTTTCTTATGAAGAGGTATGATTATGGTCTTTCTCCAATCCTCAGGCCAGACGCCTGTGTGCCATATTTCATTGCACAATCGATGTAATATTTTCACTCCACATTCCGGAAGATGCTTCAAGACGTCTGCAGTAATGAGATCATATCCTGCTGCTTTGTTTAACTTAAGTCTTTTTAAAGCGAATTCCACCTCGGAAAAAAGTATGTCAGGTTCAGACTCAAAACTAGTGTGGTGTGTCTCTGTTGAAGGAGAATGGAAAGTGGAGGTCTGGCAGTCAGGTACAAACGGGGCGTCCGCTGATTGGGGCTTCATCATCTTTGATAGACCAAGATTTCTGCTTGAATTTACGTGTGAGTTGTCTGACTTTATCAAAGAGTTCTTTGGTGTTATTTGTGTCGGCGTGTAGTTGAATTTCTCTGCAGATTTTCTCTATATGCTTGTTTTTGTCTCGTCTACAAGCAGCCTGAATAGCTCTAGATAGCTGTCGGTACTGGGAATTCCTGAGAGGGTTCTCGATTCCAGCAATTTTAAGTTTTCTACGTTCTTCAACGAGGTCAAAAGTATCTGCAGACATCCACACTTTTTTTGGTCCGGTTGAGACGGCATTAGACTGTGCCTCGCAGTCAGTCAAGGTCTGTATCAAGGTATTTTTAAAAGATAACCAAATCTTTTCGGAATCATGAGTGACGATAGTTGGTAAAATATTTTCGAATCTTTCATTACATTGGATTTTAAATTGTTGTGTATCTTTTATTTTTGATATCCTCTTGTTTCGGATCCTAGCACATGCCCTGAATTTTTGCTTTAGCGTTGCAACAAGAAGTTGGTGGTCAGAGCCGCAGTCAGCGCTAGGTCGTGTTTTACATTGGGTAATAGATGTTTTCCAGCGATGTTTAATCATTATGTAATCGATCTGATTTCGGTGTCGTCCATTAGGTGAGATCCAAGTGTACAATCTTCTGGGGTGGTGCCTATACATAGAGTTCATTATTGTCAAGTCATTGTCAACGCAGAACTGGGTAAGGCGGTCTCCCCTTGAATTGCGTTCACCTATTCCATATCTACCCACGATATTTCGTATATGTTCGTCAGCCATAGTAACACCGATTTTTGAGTTTAAATCACCCATGATGATAGCGATTTCTTTATTTGGGATATTTTGCAGATATGATTCCAGCTCGTTGAAAAAAGATTCAGTTGTATCATCATCAGCAGTTGAGGTAGGCGCATAGACCTGGATCAAATGTACAATAGAGGGAGATCCATTTAGTTTTAAGGAAATTATACGATCACTGATAGCTTGATATCCCAGTATATAAGGAGAAAGAGATTTTGAAACCCAGAAGCCAACACCATTGATACTTTTGTTAGTGTTGCCGGAAAAGCACATGAATTGTCCCAAATTAGTTATGTAGTGCCCCTCGTTGCGGAAGTGAAGTTCAGAGAGCCCGGCCACAGAGATATTGGTTCGTTCCAGTTCCTTCTCCAGAATAGCTTGTTTGCCCGGTTGTAAAAGACCACGGACATTCCATGTAGCTATGTTGTATGGTTTGCGGTTATTAAGTTTTTGTTTTTCACCAGTAGCACATTTCGCATGTAAAGCCTGATGAGTCACGTCTACATGCCCGGTAACTGATTTCACACATTCCTCCCCGGACGAGAAGATGCGCCGGGTACCATCCGGATCGCGAAGCTCATCATCCGAGGCCTCGCAGCTATTGCTCATATCATGATGCATGTAGGTAGGTATGTGCATTTATTGAGGAGTTAAATGTTGCCCCTTTTCAAACGCAACAAAAAACAACATGCAAAAACATTTACAATGCAAGTGATGATGATGAAGATAAGGGAAATGGTGATGTATAGTTTTGTTATTAAATGATAAATAAATGGAATAATAAATTATTATTCTAGAAGCAATAATGAACAATTTTAGATTTACGAGACACGCAGAACTAATTATTTGTGTAACGATATTATTACAAAGTGTGAGTACAGTTACAAATTACTGTATTTTAATGAAAACTGAGTTTTGTAAATCTCAAAATATTTAACAAGAAAAATCATAAGATTTCCTACTTGGCGAAACTGAATTCAAATCTTCACCACTGTGCTTTCTTCAACTTGTAAAGCAGACAGATTGATAATTAGTCGGCAAGGGAATCTGAAATATGTATTCCACATGCCGTTCATTATGGTCAAAATTCTTACTAATTCATTTCTGGTACTCCAAAGAGAGTAAAGAAATAAAACATAATGACGGTATTAGATTTTTATTTCGATGCAGGGTAGCATCTGTAAATAATTATTGTCCTACGACGGGATAGATTTTGTTTCGATTCAGAGCAGCAGCATATGCCGCTCTGATGAGACCTAAAGAGGTTGAAATACGTATAAGCGGCTTGTCGCTGCCCTGTGCATCGAAATAAAAATCTAATACCCTTATGTCTCAAAATATTCGTTTTTCATTGTAGTAGAG